CTGGGATCCTGCATGGCATTCAGGTTGTAGCTGAGTCCTTCCACAAAGGGAGACTTCTCCAAAAAGAGGCTGTTGGTGCTGCCACCGAAGACCTGAGCCATATCAAAGGTACCACCGGTGCCGGTGTTGAACTGCGATGCCGGTGGGATGTTGCTGGCCTGACTCTCACTGCCAACACCATCGAAGAACAGGCTACTGGCTCCTGGTGACCCACCGCTGTAAACGAACTCCTTGGCGTTGGGGGAGAGCTGCGACTGTGGGGCTTGGCTCCCAGCGCTCCCGATGAAGTTCAGAGAGTGCATAGACAGGGAGAGGCCCTTGTGCTTCAGCAGGCTGTTGGTGGGAGATCTGACCATCCTCGGCTGCTGGGTAGCCCCCGCTCCACCACCCCCTCCTCCAGCTCCTCCACCCTTCTTCATCTTGGTAGAGCCGAACTTTGTGGCAGCAAACGTGGCAGTGGTGAAAGTGATGGGCTGGGCAGAGCGAGGGATGAAGGTGGGGCTAGGCGACTGGCCAAAGGAAGGGGACGGAGAGTTGGACAGCGAGTTGTCCTGGCTGCCAATAGGGACAAATACCTGGGCATCAGGGTTGAAGCTGCTCTTGATTTCTTTGTCCAGCTCTGCTGCGCTGCAGCCTTCGCTGTCATCCAGGTACAGGACCTTAACAGAGCCCTTCTCGCCAATCTGGTAGGAAACCTCAAAAGGATCGATCCAGACACTCAGCTCTTCTGGCACATTGGCACGCACATCCTCCACGGCCAGCCCACTCCGCTTGGCCGCCAGCTCCACCACCGGATCCACGGTCTCCCCTATATGGACACAGCGATAGCCCGATCCCTTCAGAGGTTTCTCTGGGTACCAGTGACCCTCATATTTCTTCTTCAGCAGGCGCTCTAGCTCTTCACCAAACAGGTCTGCCCGCCTCCGAGGAAGCTTGTTGTACAGGTATGAGATGATGAAGTTAAGAGCAACTTTGATCTCCAGATGCATACTCCCTTCACAGCAAGCAAATCAGGGCAGTGTATTAAAAGAGACAGAGTGACAAACACATAGACAAGATTTGGCTCCAAGCAGACCTAGGAAAAGAGAGAAAAAGATATGGATAAAAACAAGGAAACAACAACTCTTAGCCTGCTGAGTTGAACAGCTACACTTTTTCATTAACAAAAAGCAAAGAAAGCATTTGTACAGACACTACCGAGCAGTGATACTAACTAGGAGAGTCACCCCAAATCTACTGACCCTCAAGACACAGAAGTCTCCCTCGTCCTGTCCAGAAGGAACTAGGGTGTAGCTACCATCCGCACACAGGCGCGTGCATTACACCTACCTCGCTGCCAAGTACCGTTGCTGAAATCAAGCAGGCCAACTGCCTGCTCTGGCAGAGCTATTTCAGTATATCTAATATGGCTCTCTATGCTTCAGCACTCTGCTGCTTCTGGTGCGGTTCACCTGCACCAGACTCTCTAGAACATAAATGTGCCACCTGGAAACTCCTGCGACTCACTCAGGAGCCCATGCAGAGACCCACTCGCACTCAGGACAGCAGGGCCAGCCTCCCCGCCAAGAGGCTGGGTGGTCCTGTGGAATACTGCGTCCTGCTGGCACAAGCACAGAAGGGACGAGAAGGAATGACGGAGGGTGCTGCGGCACCCGCTGCTAGGCCTGTCTACGATCCCCTTGACTGGCAGGCACGTACCTTATTAAGCATACGCAGTGGAAGCTCTGCCTAGCTACAAGCCTAAAAATCCCATTTTAATTCAGTTCTTTGTGTGTGTGTTGGGGGGGGGGGCAGGGGCAGGGGGAGCATGCACAGGGTCCCAAACCACGCATATGCCAACAATTTGTCCAGTACAGTTCATATCACTCATCCCTGAACAGAGGGAAAAATGAGCTCTGCCAGGATCAGGTACCTACTTGATGAAAACTTAAACTGCTTGCCAAAACCTGAAGTAATCCTCCTTTCCTCCCTCCCTCCCTCCCTCCTCCTCCAAGCCACAAAAGCACACTGCAAAACCACAACACTCAACTCTCCCATTATACGAAGATTTGCAAACAATGCTTGTCCGGGTACAAACTCCCCCAGGTAGGTCAGCACTGTGCTCTGTCACCCATCAAAGAAAATGAATCCCACAGATATTTTAAGAGGAAACACGCTTCCATTAGCCTACACACCTCTCCAGGGGGAAGCAGAATATCCAGTTTTTAATTGGCAGCTTAGTCAGAGGCTGTTCACTCTTCAATTGCCCTCATCTTGCTCAAGCAAACACACCATGTTCAACCGTCTTCCTAAAATGGGCTTCAGGGATGCTCTGATGGAGTAGTCAGACCAATGTTTATATCGTCTGCCAACTATTTGGGGGTGGGGATGGAGTACAAACATGAGGTGCCAGTCTTCCCCTGAAAAACCGGGAATCCCAGCAGCACCACCAAGTATCCATGCTGGCTCAGGTCAGAAGAAGGAAGAAAAACTGACTAGACTTGTTTGCTTAGCCTAATTTAGTGGAGATAAAAGGGTAAATAAGCAGATTAAAAAAAACTATCAACCACCACCCCACCCTCAAGTATTTTGAGGCTTCCTTACAAAAGGAAGAAAAGGGAGGGGGGAGTGATTTTTTTTTTTTTTTAAAAACATACTAGTCAGAGTTCAAGAAGGCTTATTTTCAGGATTACAGTAACCAGAAGCAGATCCCACACCTCAAGCCAACTGAGAAAGAGGTCAGCTCTGGAAGGAATCTCCTTCAGATTTAACTTGATAACCAGAAAAACACAGGATTAAGAGAACGGAAAAGAAGAGAAGCCTTGCCTTTTCAAACCTGGTTTAAGGAACTACTGAACTACAAAACAAGTTTTGTTACGTCACCAAGACCTGACAAAGTTCAAATAAGAACATTTTAACACCGAAGAAGCGAACAGCCAGAATTTCTGAGAGAGCAAGGAGAGCCATTTTCAGGCCGCACGAGTCTCAGTCCGGAGACAAAGCCTTCTGCAGAGGAAACGGCACCAAGGAAACCCCCGAAATGGCACATATAAATATTAACAAGAACTTAAACAATCCATACTACTGCAAGAAGGAATTACATGAAACCCCGTTGCCACTTTGACTTTGAGAGGTCCGAAAGGAAGGACAGCTTGAGATCCCGGCAAACTAAGCATGAAAAGAATAATCAGTTTGCAAAAATCTTTTAATCTCATGTGATAAATTCTAATCCAGGCCCAAAACATTAAGAGATCAGAAGTTACAGCCTGGAAATGGAGCAAGAGACCAAAATTATTTACTACTCTATATGCAACACAGATGCCTCAGTACCCCTTGGCAATCCCACATCCTAATCAACAGAGCAGCACCTTCTGTTGAAGACAGCAGGGAGGAGATACAGTAATACATCTTAGCTCCTCTCTTTTTTCTTTCAATAAAAAGTGTCCCCACTTTCTAAAAGCAGAACGCTCTACCTTCACTATGAAAAAGATGAATGAATTAGGCTAATAATACTAGTAGCTGCCAAGGTAGCCACATATAGCTGATGCTTGCAGAACTCTCAAGAAGTTAGAGACACCACCTCAGGCTGTTGACATAGTAAGATGGGCTCCAGTAGGCTCTCTTAATCCCTTTCTACTGTACCAAAATGAAATAAAATAGTAATTAAGGAATATCTGAAGGAGCACAGCTTCCAAGACAACAGGCAAACAAGTAACAACTCTAAAATGTATTCCGATAAGTCTGCCAGAAAAGAAAGTCTTGCCCACACTGCCTTTATTTCCAAAGTAAAAGCTTACTCTATGGCGGGCAGAACACAGAAGCGTCAGCATCAACAAGAGCAATGTCCCTCTACAGACCTGCTCTGTTGAAGGAATTTCTAAGCCACCTCTGATTCCCCTCTTTTATCAGCACATTTTAAAGGGGATGGGCCAAATAATAATTTACATCAGACAGGAACAAACAGCAGGAGAATGCCCTCTTCTCCTCACTAGGTACACAGAAGAGGTGACCTTGTGAGTAAGCCTTCAAACTTCTAAGAGAAAATTGTCCTCTGAGAACAGGCTCACTATCGTGTCACCATCGTTAATGGTGCACAGTGACATCTCAAGTGACTTTAAAAGTATGCAGCCAAGACAGTCTCCCATGTTGAACCGCAGGCCACACCCTACCAAAGCAACAGCTTCTTTCCAGGCTTCCTTGCTCATCCCACAGGCAGCAAAGGCACTAATCGGATTAATTATGCCCCCCCCCCAAAGGCAAGCGGCCCTGCACCTCGCCACCCCTTCAGACAGCCTGCACG